CTGCGATCGATAAACTCTTGTTGGTCTCTTTTCAACCTCAAAGACACCCAGTCGTCGTCGTCGTCAGCGGCAGCGGCGGCCTGGCCGTCGACCGCATCCTCGTTTTTCGACCACAGCAACAGACACGTGGTGACCAGGACGGCGATCGCCCACGGCAGTCCTCGGCGTACCGTCCGGCGGCAGCCCACGAACATCACGACGGCGGTACGGAGCGCATAACGTGACCGGGAGAACCGAGCATTTCCGACGGGACGAAGACGCGGGGTGACGTTGACCGGGGGAGGGAAAACGCGACGAGAACCGGGAAAAGCCGGCGCGCGACGCTGTGCCACCGGTTGGCAAGGAGACGTGCGTGGCCGACCGAAAGCAATGCGGGCGCGACGACGGTCGTGACGCGAATGGTAGGGTAACGGCGGCCCGAGCAGAACTCGCCGGTCGTGGAGACCCGATCCGTCGCCGCCACACGTCGTTGTTCCGTTGACGGGCGGCGGCCTTGACGGTCTCGGACAGCGCTGACCGTCGCCGCGACGCGGGAGCGCCATCTGCCGCCGTGCGTTCGCTGCGAGTCCGGTTCGCCGGCGGCGGCGGCGGCGGCAGCGGCATCCCGATGTTTCGTATTTTTACGCGTTTTCACCTACAACCATTGATTTTAGAATATATATATACACATTTACATACAGAATACGTATGTTGTTGCTTTTGCAACTTTTCTCATACCACTCCAATTTGTTGCTAAGTAAGTTTTAAATGCGTTTCGTGTAGGTACGAACGAAAATAAAACAATTTAAAATTCAATTATTCGCAATTTTCGACATTTTTGTTGCAATTTTGTCGGTTTTACTCATTTATCAGGCACTATTTTTATGTGCACCCCGACACACAATGTGCACTAAAAATGTAAAAGTGTGCACTACGGTCTAGAAAACAAAAATTAAATAATTAGCCAACTACTAGGAAATATTAGTTTTATTGAATTTTTTAAAATTTAATACATATATATATTATGTATGTAATATATTTCATTTTCTAAGACACTAGCCAGACTAAATTTTCATTTAAAGCAGTAAAATCAAGTGTGCAGTCCGAAATTGTACAAATAATAGGGCCTGTCATCAGTGGCGTATACAAAGGGGGTGTTTGGTAGATATGACACCCCCCTTGAGCCGTATCATATATTACATTATTATAGGAATAAAGGTAAATCTATAAATACAATATGAAATATAAAATAATGCACAATACTATTTACATATATACAGGTTAACATTATCGCGATTGCGACAATACGTGACGAAAATTATTCGTTTACGTTTTCGTGCAAAATTATATTAATGGTCTAAATTAAATGGTTTAAAAATAATAAAATATATTGTTTAAATTATTTATTTCATTAATAATATTATACATGAGATAACATTTTTAACTTTGTTGATCACGACTGACTTGTTGTTATTGAATGATCTTTGCATTTCTTAAATATTTTACAAGTTAATAATTTGTCTAAAATGAAGAATTTATAATCTGCGCATTCTTAATTTTCATTAAACCAATGTTTTATTAGATTACAACGTTTAAACCATGTCATAAAAATTAATTATTAAATAATATATATATTTTATTATATATTATATTATAAATTAAATATTATAAAATCAATGTTTATAGGTATAATGGTCGACAAGAAACGATAAGAAGTGAACTAGTGTAAAATCAGTAAAAATGATCAAAAAATGCAAAAAAAAAACTGCTAAACAAAAATTAATTATTCAGATTCAGATGCTAATGAAACACATTTGTGGCCAGGAAAGCATCATCTAAAAAGCTCTAGAATAAAATGCAAAATGCATCAACTACTGACTACTGGCCTAGTTATTATTTACAAGTACCTGTTTTTTTTTTTTTTTAGACGCAGTCTCAAATTTCTCCCCTGACGAGCCGCTTTTGAAATAAAAACCTACTTCTTTAACTGTGTGTATGAACAATTATATAAATAAAAAATGCATAAATAATAATTTCATAGCATCTTAATGTTATAATATAATAATGTAAAATTCAGACAGATTTAAAAAAAAATAAATATGTCTAGTCTTATTTGATATTATTAACAATAATATCTTAAAATTAATAACTGCAATATAGTATCGAAGTAAATTTAATAACGTTTGTTATAGTTAGGATCCGGATTTATATGCACTTAAAAAGCTTAAAATAATATGCATTAAAAATTAATTAAATATGTGCTTGATATGCTTTTATTTTTTTTATTATTCAAAAATAAGCCTTTGCCCAAAATAAATGCATTTTAATATATTTTATTCATTTTTTCCTATAAATTTTAATGATATTAAATTAGATAAACTTGGTATTTCCAGTACAGATATGAACTTATAACATAAATTATAGCAAATATTTACACATATATTCAACTAATAGAACAAATGCTTAAGTTAGGAATAATAATATAAAAAATAAGAAACTATTAAATTAAATTAAATTCTTTATATCATAAACCAAGTTAAAATGGATACTTACGGGAATTGTCCGTGATGTACCGAAATAAAATGTGCGCTCTCGAACAACACGGAGAGACGTATAAATGATGTACGTGTTCGCGTTCCGCAATAAAATGACAATATTATATATTTATTTAATATCAATTTATTATTTATTAAACAAGCTCGCGGACGGAGAATTATCGGAGGCGACGGTTACGTCCCCAGCGGCAGAGCCATCGATGATTCAAAACCATAGTTGATGTTGAGTTCATGACGGCGATTACAAAGGAACTCGATGATCCAAAAGGCCAAAGCTTATATGTGTAGTTTTAGTAGCAACAAAATGGAATATTTTAAACGAAGAGCTTGGTGTATCGTTAGAATCTCAGTCTGAAACACGATGGAACTCTTATGTTTCAGCTATACGTCCAATGTTAAACATCTTCCTAGTATTTTAAATTCGTTAAATAGAATATTAACTGAAATTAACTTGACGGATAAAATGTATAGTAAAATATTGCCTTCAAAAAAATATTTTTCTTCATTTGAATGCATAGCGTGGCAAGTTTTTTGTTTAAAGTACTTTCTTCTGTAAATGAACGAAATATAATTATTTAGTCTAGAGATGTATCTTTTGAAATTTAAATTGATTCAATAAAATTGTTGATAATTGAACTTAAATAAATAAGAGATAAATATCCTACAATTTTAAATGAAGTAGTAGTAGTAGTAGTAGTAGTAGTAGTAGTACTAATATAGTAGCAAACAATTTGAACATTTTACCATGTTTCCCAGATGAAGGAAAAAGGTCAAAGAGAAAAAAAATGTTCATGACGAGTATTCCTCCAGAAACTATAATTCAGCCTAATACAGAAATTACAGCAAAAGATTGTTTTAAGATAGATATTATATTTATTTGTATAAATGTTCTTATAACCGATTCGACGTATCGTTTTGAAGCACATCAAAAACTTTGTAACCTGTTTTCTCCAATTTTATGCTATATGAAATTATCATGTGCAGATCTTGAAATAAACGTAAAAAAATTATAGAAATATATTCTAATGATTTATCGCCAACCATATTAGATGAATTATCCAAAATGATGTTGTTTTTATCGTCAAAGAAAAATATATCAACAATCAAAACAAATACTAAAAATAGAATATCACCGGCTATCGTAGTATAGTAAAACAGTACTAATAGCATATTATTCATAGAAATATGCTGCGAATTCTCCGATCAGTCTAAACGAGGACGAATGAATTATTTTCCATATATCTGATATATCTAAATAATATGTATTATTTTGTAATACTTGATTTGTGTAAAAAGTGTACAAGAAAAATGCTGAACTCATTAGTTACTATTTATAGTAGTAGAAAAACGGCAAATAAATAATAATTCACATATGCACTCTTATAGTGTGCATTTGTAACGCAATATAATATATTGACTTGGAAACTAATTTCACCAGTGATATTTTGCCAACTTTTTTCTTCGGGAAATATGCTCAACAGCGACAAGCTTTTAATATTTTCATTTTTATGATTTATTTTTGTATTAACTAATTAAATTAAATTATTAATATTCATTGATTCAATTTAGATTTGTGAACTATATCATATTGAATCGCATGAATTAATTACAATCAAAAAACGTAATTTATATTACATTATAAACATTATTTAAAATAAATTCTGTTGACTCACATCAAATTTTTTTTTGTTATTATCATTTTCCATTATGTATATACAAATAATATTAAATTTAATGAGCATTATTTATTTTTATTTTATAGAAATTATTGATCGAAAACATTTATTTGTGATAATAACAATTACATTTGGTGCAATATGTGAAACATTGAGGTAATGTTAGTTGAATAAAATAAATATCTAAAAAATGGTTGGAAAAATATGAAAACGATTTAATCCCCCTAGATAAATTAAATTTGAATACAATTTTAGAGTTTGGTTGAAATTGAAATATTATTGACAATCAATATTCGTGAAATTGTCCGCAGCAACGGATTAATTATTTATTTAAGTTATTCTTTCGATATTTCACTCCTGTTTTAGCACTCTTCATAAAACGTTACTACACACAATTTTTTCATGAAAAATATCATAAAGACTTATACTATGGATGGACTTTTTGAGATCGAATTGTAAGTATTAATTTAAAGTATTACTATATCATTGTTCGGAAATTGCATTTCGTAAATACAGCACAAATTTTCCAGCTTTTTGTCTAAGATGGAGTCTAGAATCAAAACATTTTTTTCACCATTATTAATCTTTAGTTAGACATTTTAAATCAATTTTTTTAAACATTTTTAAAAAATTACTTAAGCTTCGCTAAACCCTAAAGTTCCACGGAACACAACACAGTTTAAGAAACACTTGTCTAGATAATACTAAAGTCGATGTTGAATATTGAGCTTTGAACCAGACTCAAATTGGATATTGCACTGAATTAACTGAATAGTAATTTTTTTTTAGCACTTTCAAATTTTAAATAAAATTATTTCAAACATTCTTCCATAAATTTAACTTATTAAATTTAAATTATAAAAACAGTTCACTATAATCACCGTATTAAAGCGAAGACCAAAAAATAATGGTATGCTATAATAAATTACAAAACACCGTACAAAACAATAATAACCTATCCGTTGCTGACTGCCACGCTGCCGTGCCAGGTCCCCGAACGTCGGCAATGTCATGTAAAATAAATTTTCCTACTACTTTTAGTCTTATAATGTTGAATAACATATCCGTATTGTTACAATATATTTTCATCCGACTAGATAATAGTGCTAGACTAGTAATTATTTTATTTTCAGTTTTTTATAAGTCCTATCACTTACGGAAAACTTAAAATAATCGTATTTCTAATAGGAATACCGAGCAATTATAGTTTCATACAAAATTTATTTTGCC